GCTTTTCTCTCTTTCAGAACTTCCTTTATCGCTTCTCTACAGTAACTAGCAGCATTACTCCTTTCTAATGAGCACAAACCTTCCAAGAAATAGAAATCTCCTGAGAACCACCGAGTGAACTCAATTTAATAGCTCAGCACAAAGCTGTACATTTCAGCTGGGGCTCAGTTCTTTGTTAGTTAAAGCAATTATATACTCAATAGGAACCTTTTAAAAATTACTTCTGTTATGTTTCAGTCAACTGCGAGAATGCATCCTATGGTGGGACGATATGTGCGGAACGGAATGCTATGACCACAGCACTGACAAAAGGATATCGTAAATTCAAAGCGATTGCCATAGGTAAATTTAATTTGTTTATTCAATTTAATTTATTTTTTTCAAGTAAACAAGCTTTGTTGTAAATGCATGGAAAAAAAATGAAATAGGTGTAGTATTGTTGTGGTTAGTCGTGAATGAGGCACCTCTCAATAAGCGTTGCCTCACGATTTCTTCAAGTTCGGGAACAAGTCCAGGGAAATAGCAATTGTCCCTGAATACAGCTTCTTTCCACAACTACTCGTTATGCGGGCTCATCATTTCCTCACCTCGTTTAGCCCTGGCCGAACAGGGAGGTGCTCACGTGAATATCTGTATAACCTCTTTTGCGTGGTTTAATTGGGGGAACCTACACCCTTTTGAGTCACAGAAATTGGATCCTTTTTTCTTCTGAAAAACAATAAAATAATTTTTTTATCAAAAAAAGGCTTCACAGCCGTTGCTAGACATCTATGTAAAGGTTGTGAAAAATTTTGCAAATTGCTAATTATTTCATGTAAAGGTTGTGAAAAATTTTGCAAATTGCTAATTATTTCAGCAACAGAACTGGAAGAGCCAACAAGTCCCTGTGGAATGTGTCGACAATTTCTTATAGAATTCGGTGACTTCAAGGTATTGTTGTTGTACATGCAGTTTACGAGAAAGAGAAAATCAAGAAAGAATGTATGGAAAACAAAAACCCTTCAGACTAGCAACAAAATGAGACCAATCCCTTTATGAATGAGAAGCTATAAGGACTTAGGCTGTTTTCATAGCTGTCCTAATTTTCAGTTTAGCAGATTTCAATTTCGAACAATTCCCATGAACCCGAGGCGTTACGCATTACTTCGACCACTTCCACTCTTACGACTCAGAACAAATAGCTGGATTGAGTGCTAGCGTAAGGTTCTCGCCTTCATATTGTTTAATGCCCAAACATTCAACTAAAATAGGACTGAACACGTGTGGTACAATTGAATAGGAAGTCATTGAAATCATTAAAAGAAATGGTTGGGCCTCATCAGCCGAGATTTTAGCAGCAAATCATTGAAATGGAAAAAGTGGTCGAAGTGTCTCACTAGAAAGCATTTTATGGACAAAATGTGGTAGCAGATCGTCCACTATGCAATCCCCTTTATTTAACCAACAAGGAAGATAGAAAGAGCTACGCACTGATCAGAAAGTGCCATCGCGTTCACGATGCAAAAACTAGGTCTTAAGGCATTTTATTTTTTTACAAAATGACTATTTGTGACTATTTTTACAAAATGTTCTTGTGACTCTATGGCATTTTGTGCTTTGCAATGGCATTGTATTTATATTTGTACCGGTGAGACTGATCTGTCTCTATTTCCACGTCCATTTTTTTATCTGCCTTTTCATTCAAAAAAGTAGCATTCCCCAGTCACATTAGGGGCGACCTTTCACCTGGAACTGTTCTACACTCTCAAGAATTCCCTTTTTCAAAGAAGACGAGACATTCAGAAGTTAGTAACCAGCAACAACCAAACAAGCAGATCATTATTATGGTTGAAAATTTCAGGTGATTCTAGGATCGTCTCGTAGCGATAAAGTAATCAACACCTCGATTGCCTCACTACTACCATGTGCTTTCACTCCTGCCGCTCTAGACACGCACGCCGAAAAAAAATAAGTATAGGCTTGAACTTTGTACTATGATCATTTAAACGAGTGTATTTCTGTTTGTGGTACATTTTAAATAAGATAAAAATTATACTAGATCAACCAATGAACCTTGAACAAAGAATTTTCGCTTGTTTCTGTTGTGAACAATCATTAAACTTACATAGAGCACAAATGCCTGTCTGTTTGTATGTTTGTTTAGTTGTCGCTCTGTTCGTAAGACTTTCGCGAATGTTATAATGGCAGTAATATAGAAACCCAACGCAAAGTGAGGTAGGTACAATCGGAAAGAAGCTCTGAATGTAGTTCGGTGTATTAGCGATAGCGCATATGAAGGATAAGGTTTTTGGCGTTAATCAATCCCGTCTGAGGGATGCGCCCCCGCATTCGACTTCCATTTAGATTCGTAGTGGCGTCATGAGTGCGTATGGGGCCTATACAATGACTTGCGGTGGCCAGCCGATGAACAAGTTAGTTCTTTTATACTCCCAGACGAGTCTGGTACCAATTCGCCGACCCCGGGGGGATGGAAGAGTTCGTTGCCCTAGGCGGGCACCGATCCGGGACTCGAACCCCCGACTGTGCGTGTGATATAGTCCGCCACTTGCCGCTACACCACCTCCGCCCTATACTTGCCACCACACCACCTCGCGTTGGCGAATTTAGTTGTAATATTTGAACGATAAGAAAAACGAAGATGCCTTCACGACTTCATATTCGATCCTATAGACGTTATTTTTCACTTTAGAAATAGCACTCACTGTGTTTGTCTAAGGATGGTTGAATGTTAGCAGTGGATAGAAGTAACTCGTAAGTTATATCGACTATACTGTAAGCAAATTCTATAACTTGTTACGAATGTCGTCGAATTGCCAAGGTCTTCCAACATTATTACTTTTGCCTCTTATAACTACTCACCATCATCTCAGGGACCAGTCTTCTCGAATGAGTGGCAAATCCTCTTGAAAACAAGCTTCCGTTTATAACGACTGCCTAATTAATGCTGCTTGTTATCCAATACGACATAGCTATCGCGGAGCCACAATGAGCTGCAGTATGGGAGCAGATAATGCTTGTCGACAATTACCTCCTTTTATCTTTGAGATTCATACCGCTTGTGGGCCCTAACGAAGCTCGAGAACGGGCTGATGAGGAAAAAGGAGATGTACACCGGGTACTCAGTAGTGACGAGAACGGTACAGCTAAAATCAACCACTCTACGTCATGTCGCATGAGAAGGTGGCTGCCGGGCGCAGCACACGCTCCCCGGCTCATGTTTGCTCGGCCGCCACAACGCGACGCAAATGCCAGTGTGCGCGTACCTCCAAAAAAAATGTCAGCCGGCGCTCGTCCCTCACCGTAATCGGCTGGCTGTTGGCAGCTGGTCGGTATAGCCAGGTAACACTGTGAAGTTGCCCGCAGGGCAACGGAGCTCCAGTGTAAGCCCGAGCAGTATGCGATCTGCCCCTCTCCGAGGGCGCAAGCTGTCACCTGTTGGATACTGAGAAGGAAGGAAGGCAAGAAGACCGCCGAGGCCAATGGGGGCCTGGAATGGACAGCTGAAGGAGCTTGCCTTGGAAGGAGCCTGAAGATCGAGGGACAGGTCAGTGTCGTGTTTTACTATTACGTCATTATGCATATGGCATTCATACTCTATGTATATTTTTATTTACTCTTTTATATCTCATTGTTCTTTCCTATTTATCTCCTCCTAGTGATAGTTGCTTAGAGCTTGCTTGCTTTCCCTCACCGCCTAGATTTCTCTCACTGGGTCCTTGCCTATGTACATCTCCAGAAGTGTAGTCTTGTAGTACGTAGTTTGTTCATAATAAACCAGTCCTCATTACCTTTGTACGCCTCTCCGAGCGTAGGTTAGGAAGGGTACCCTGGTTGCGATGGGGAGATAGGTTATGTCGCCCAGTCATAACGCGACATCCCCCCCCCCGTTATTTCCGTCGCGGTGAGCCTGACTGAGGTTGCTTGGGTCTAACTGGAGCCTTCCCAAACAGGAACACATTGGTCCCCGCGGGCTGGTACGCCCAGTACGGGCGCACTCGTCCGTTGAGCCAGTAGGTTTGAGGGCTCGAAGTACCAATGCTGATCGCATCCAAAGGTTGGCCCAGTCCACGACAACGACTATATAACTAACTGCTATCTGTAAAGCACGCTTCACTGACCTGATACGTCTACCTTGACGCTCCGTGTGCAGCGCCCATCGCATCGGCTCTCTAACCGAACTATCCAGATTTGTCCCGCTTTCCTGCTACGTAATGATGTTATGAAATGTAAACAATGACGTATACTGATATGGGCATATGTTAACAATAAGCTACTTTGTACACTATGGTTACATTGGCTATGTTTTCAATTCCCAACTGGCGATAAAAACGGTCGTCACTGTATATAAGATATCATTCGATGACACACGGGGCTCTCGACGCTTTTCTCTTCGACTGTGACCTAACTCTCCCCTCCCCCNGGTCCTTGGCTAAACGCTAATTTCTGGATCATGTTCTCTAGGCTGCTCCTCTCAACGTTGAAGCAGACCGTAACGCAACGATATTCGGTATTAATAAATATAAAATATATCTGTGTGCCACTTCAAAATCTATTAATTCTAAGTCATTATTTCGGTGGCAATCGTTATCTTTCTCATTCGTTTCAGTTCATTATGGCCAGTGAGAGCACTGTTGGCGAGCAAATTAAACTGAATGTGTATATATGGAACGATCCCTTTACTACACCATCAGTTATAGGCCCGATCACTCTAGAATCTGATATGGGCTTGCTATGCCGTAGTGCTATCACATTATCAAAGTTCATTGTAATATGTTTGCTATATCAACATAAAAGAAAAACGCCCATGCAGTTCTGTTTTATTCGGTCACATTGGCATAGTGTTTTGCACGTAGAAAAGCAACTCAAGATGTTTCCTGTGAGGATGATTGAATTGTTTACCTTGCATCAGAATGATTACATGTAAATAAATATGTATGTAATAAAGTATATAAAGTTATGTGGTTGTGTTACAGAAGAATGTCGCTGCTACATCGTTGAATATAGACCCAATCATCCTATCCTTTCTATCATCACTAAATATAAAACGCTCGCGTCTGTCTGTCTGTCTGTCTATCCCGAAATACACCTGAAAGGGCACATGGAGAAGCGGGGCCAAGTTTGAGATGTGTTGGGCATAGGGCAAGAACAACAAAACTTGCGTGTGTTGAGCGCAGCTTCAACCACCGAGGGCGGGGCATGCACCGGGGTTGAGGCGTACAGTGCTTCATTCGGTTTCAGAACAAGTGAGACGCCGAGAAAAATTGGGCGAAGGTGAGGTATGGATCAAAAACCGAAATGGTGGAGGCAATTCCTTGCTGGCTGAGCGTTCTCACAGTGAGCAGTACTTCCTACATAAGTTCATAACTCGATTCAGCGAAAACGTGGAGGCCAGAAAAACAAATGAAGTGAGTGAGCAAGGCCTTATACAGTTGGGCATTGGTGAATTAGGCGAAGTTCGGTGGTGCGTGTACTGAAATGAGAGGACAGTTCTTAAAAAGGTGTGTACCTCTTTCCAAAAACGTTCTAGAGCGCACAAAAAAGTGGTATAGAAGAAGTGTAGTCAACTCCTCATTGAAGACAGGGTTGCATTGAGGTGGACCTGGTAGATGAAAATTCACAACTCTGTTTGAAAACCTGCGTGACGATCCCAAATCAGTCGATATTCTAAGTCATCGTCGTTACCTACTATCTATAGAATCATAACCAGTACTTACTGTAAGATATAAAAACCAATTGCTCCTGTCTGTCCATCTGTCAGGAAATTCATCAGGAAAAACTACCTGGATATAGTAGACTTGAAGAGGTAGGGTTAAGATCGGGATGGGCCGGGCAAGGGCAAGGTATACAGAGCACACATGAGCTTAGAGGAACTCTGCTCACAGAAGGGAAAATGTGGTAGGAACAGGGATGCCATGAAAAAACCCCGTAATTCTGTCGCAGGTAAACCCAGACAATAGGCAAAGGTTTGGAATGGGTCAACGATTCAGATAAAACAGACTTTCCTGTGTTAGGTGGGGTGTCCTGGTAATTTTATAGAGGTGGAACCTCCTGACTACTCACTCCACTTCTGTAGACAGTTGTGCACATTCGAATCGAGGAAGGATCTTCCCTGTATTGATTGCCATCGACCCTCTTCACTCATTCTATGTGAGCTCCACCTTCTCTGACGCCTACTCACATGATTGCCCTAGAATAGGACTACGAATAGAAAGACGAGTTTTTCGTTGTTCGACTTTCACTACTGCCACATGAATCTAATTCTTAAATGAGTAGAAATGGACCTACCGTGTCGTGATGATTTACTGACAGCTGCTCGCCTGTACAGCAGTACCTAGACTGATCAAATGGACAGATCCGGGAGGTGTGACTTTTTGCGTCTGGAGGCCGTGTCTCTGTCTAAAATGTCTGTTCCAGGAAGCGAATTCATTCAGAGCTGCTTCGAGTCAATCCAAGCCAGTGAATCCGCTGATGACCAACTTTTGGTTTAACTTTCGAGCTTCACAAGGTTTCACAGAGGAAATGATGCTATGAATAGTCTCTGAGATATGTCGGTTCGAAGCACGTCTCATCAAAAATAAGAGAAACAAATGAAAAGTAAGGAACCCGACCACTGCATTCCTTCATGGAAAAAGTGAAACGAATGTCCCCCAGGAGCACTAGGCTGTTACAGTAACTCGACCATGCATCCCGGCTCGAACAAATGACCGTAATGCAAGACATTCCTACAGAACGAAACCAATCGCTCAGGGCACCTTTCAATGCGTTTACGTAGTAGACGTAGCGGGTTAAGGATTTCTGTACTCAAACAGAGTTATGCCGTGAAAAGAAAATTGTCTGTGAAAATCTGCGTCCAGTGCACTTCATTTCACACCAAGGTCAGGGTAAGAATCAAGTCCCCACACTGAATTTCTTTCATGTGTATGAAACTAGTCCGCCGGGAACCAGGGCAGTAGAAAGTGCTCGGTCGAGAAAGGTCGCGCCGCCGCTCTAGCGTCCCCCGCAGCCGCGAGAAGATCAGACATTTTACAGTTGTTCGACAAAGTTCACCAATCGACTTCCATTCCCTTTATTCCCCCTCTGCTCCGTATTATTTGATGGATTTGGTCCCGTTGTCGTGATATCTTCTTTAACTTCATCATGGTCGTGGCAAAAGATCTTGAGGATGGATTCGATTTGGATAAAATCGATGCCGAAATTAAAATTGAAAAGATTCGTCAGACAGCATCGAAATTGTCTTGGGATGGTTTCCAGCAAGCTCTGCGACGGAACCTTATGGTTAGTTTTGTATATATCCGGTTTGTTGGATGACTCTTTATGGTTGTTAATCTGAAGAACCACAGCAAGCTTTTAGTCCCTAAACCTTAATTTATTTCAGGAAAAACGGTTCGTTTTCGATACTGAGGGACGAATTGATTTAATCCAAGCAATATCCACAATCAGGCGTAATTTGCCAGGTAAGTTTTACATTGATGCTGATCTATATTGAATTACAACATGTGAAATGATAGGAACCCTAATGCGAAGTTATTTTTGAGCATCCAATAGCACCGCCTTTAGCTTTCATTGTATTTTGTGATGGGCTTAGCGTACGATGACGATACATTTTTCCGGCAACCAATAATTCTGAATTGTTGTGCTCTTATTGCACATGCCCTTGTAGGGAAAACCGTGAGCAAGAATGCCGAGAGTATGAGTAGGAATGCGGTGTAAATGTGTTATCACGGAAATCTGAGGGGAGCTTGAGTTAAAATATTTTGCATTCTATAAGCTTTTTTTTCGCAGTTTCTGCAACTTGTTTCTATCCAACATCTTCAACATTTGAGCAAAAGAATTTTACTCTTCAAAAGTACTGGGTGGAAGCTATTCCCCATAGGCAGATAGGACCTGAAAAAATATAATATTGAACTCCTTTGTATGCGTACCTTGTACTGGCATAGAGGGATTCATAAATTACTGCTTGTATTATTTTCAGTTGACAAAAACGCGGAATTACCAGTGAGGTTGAAGCAGCTTTCCGACAGTTTAGAGTAAGTTAATGATTCAAATTTAAACATCAACAAGGTTCAGTATAGGGTTTATAGTCGTATATGAACTTTTGAAAGTTGATGAGGTTTTAATAGCTTTTCCCCTTCTCAAAAAGCAAGCTGTTGTTGTCGCACTGTGTGCTATTCCATGTAGTCCGATATTCTCGTTCCTAATCGATCTTTTTTCAGATGTGTTCTGACTTTACAACAAGGTGTAGCCCTCATGAAAAACTATGATATTACTATAGAGTTTACCTTCGATGGTGATGAAGTAGGTTACGCTTCTACTGCTTCTTTCTTATAGAAGGACCTTACCTTAACTACAAACACTCAGGTAACCTCGTGTAAAATTGGATATTTTGGCAAGCCTGCAGTTGTTTGCGACGATGCTGTTCAATTGATAAGAAGTGGAGATTATGGAAAATTGCGTGGGAACATTTTTTCTGTATTGGCAACGATACCAAGCAATATCACAGCGTATGTTTTCTCCCTGATTTCACGTTCCACAGCTGTTTGAAGTAGAACCCCTGTGTTTTAGTGCCGAGAAGAACATTTGTGTTACTGCTCTCGATACATTCGAAGGCTTCCTCTCAGCCTCCTGTGGTGTGAGTCCGTCATTTGAAACCATTGGAACTCTCCCATATGGATTTTTGCTGTATCGTACGCCACTACGACCGGCAAAAATATTTTATACTGTCGAGCCAAGCTATGTTGTTGCCAAGAAAAAACCTCAGTTGGAACTTTCAGGTTAGTTTTTTTCGAGCGAACCTTGATTATAGAGCCTGCCAACTATGGACCCGTTCCCTCGTGGAGTGGTTTACTATTACCCTTGTTCTATTGCGCATTCTCCATTATTCCATCTTTTGGCTTGTATATGTTGATATTGTCGCTCAAATTCTTTTTTTTTCACAGACTTCGACAATCTTGACCATATGGAGTTATCGATAGTTAGCCTTGATAAGGAAATACAGCTCCCAGCAGGAGATTCACGGTATGTTCGCTGTTTTGCACAACGCATAAATTACTTTTTTCTCGTCGAATTGGCTTTTTAAATACATCAAATTTTCGGGTTTTTAATTCATCGCAGTCATTTCGTATTTCTCCTTTTCTCGCATCATCATGAGAGCTTACGCTTCTTTTTTCTCAAGCTCCCCATATAAATGTAAAAACGTCCACTTTCAGCAATCCCTGGTCCTCAGTTTCTGCTTGCAAGGCCGGTTTCCAGCTGCGTTTTTCGTCGCCAATGCTGTTTAGCTATGGTATGTGGCGGCGTTTGGAACGCCATTTGGCAAGACCTGCCGCTGTGAAGGAAAACGTCAACTTGTACCGATACATGAGTGGTTTCAAATTTGAGGTAAGTTCATTAATCGGGGTTTTAGAAGTATGTGGCGAGCCTATCGCTGGGAAAATGGTGCTCCGAGTTTAATTGTGATTCCGGCCCCTGGATACTGAAGTGTTGTTGGCCGATGTACTGCCTAATAGGTAACATGCTTTTCGACACAAAGGGGTACTCAACTTGAAATCGTGGTTAATTCGCTTGTTCATCTCTTTTGAAAGTCCCAGCATGGTTTCTATACAAGTGTAATTCCATAGACTTGTTTTAGCAATCTGAACTCGTGATGCGTACTTGCTTTCCACAGCCCTATCGTCAGCATTGGTACACAGTATGCACTAATTCTCTTCTTGAAGAAAGAGACTGCGTCATTTCTGAAATTTGTATAGGGAATGGCTCGGAGCTTGCTGAGGTCAGAATGGTTGATGCATTATCCTTATTTTTGTCTTTGAGTCATTATGAATAGGAAGCATAATCTGTGAAAAGCACAAGACCATCTTCTGTCATGTAACACGAACCATAGGAAAACGATAGAAGTCTATGTTTATTATGCTGCGCTTATCAAGAGCATTTAAGACATCGGTTTCAGATAGTGTCTATCGTTCGAGCCCAAGCAATACACAACAGCCTCTGGGAGTCGCTGTTAGCGATGACTAGTGGGAAATGGAAGGAAGGACAGCCTCATGTTGACATTCGTATCGTACCTTCAGCAGCTCGATACGAACTTTCATTTTGTGTAGCTAATAAAATGTACCTAGGTGAGTTCTTTACCTTTCCTTTTTCCTTAATGTTTCGGCATAATCCTTGCCTTTCTGTCCCGGTAGCGGTGATATTATTGATCATGAGCTCAAATTTATTGACGTAGAATTTGTCCGTAAAGTTCTAGATTTAGTTACCATGTAATATGTTTACAGTTCGTATTGAACTGACTCGCGAATTTGAATGGATTGGTAGCGTCGAGGATTCGAATGGTGTCCCCGTGCGTGTCGACCTTAATTCTATGCTTACGACAAGGATCAACAAGTAAGATCTAGAAAAATATAAGATCAGAATAATCATCTAAGGTAGCGCTATCAAGGTTGTTCGTTGTTCATATGAGTATGTAAGTCTGTTATTGGGGCGCCTTCTGACAAAGGTCATTCAGGTTTTCTCTGCTATCGAAAACCCTGCCCAAATTTCTGTACAGCTGACCATAGGCGGACGGTAGTGCACTTGTTGGGAAATATTTACTATGTAAAAAGTATTATTGANGATTTTTCCGAAGAAAATTCCGAAACCTCATAGGAGCGGATAATGAATTTAGCACGCTGGAGTGCTCTGATGTATCAAAAATATCGATAAAAAATTGTGTAAGGTTAAAGTTATGTCCATAATGTGCTCATTCCATAGTGGCATATGCTTTGTCGATTCTTCACGAATTCTTTCTTTCTATTGTGCTCTTGATGTCTTTACTTCTCTTTTCATATTTGACATTATAGGACTCGTTCTATTCCTGTTTCGATGGTACGAGTGCTTAAAGAGCTGGGATGTGAAGATGTCCGCAGTGACGAAATAAGTGCAGAACAAACTGCTATGGAAGTGGATAATGAATCATGTGTATCAGGCATGGATAAAGTTGGCACTGCTTGGTTGCCATTGTTGAACAGAAGCAAAGATTCAAAGAAACCACTTCGAGCATGTGTGCCTGAATTCACCTTCGAGGTGCATTCTGTGCCATTAGCTACACCGGGTGGACTTCTTGCTTCTTACAAAGAGATAACAACTGAGAGCGGTACTCGCCCACCAGCTGCTGCCCGAGCAGAAGCTCGTACTCAGCGTGTTCAATCTGATACAGCTCTCGCGATATCAGACCTGGTACGGAACTTAAATAAAATTGTGGCAAAAGTGACAAGAAGGTGGGGTCGTGAGAAAGATTCGTCAAACTGCTCAAGCTCGATGATATTTGAAAATGCTCTATGCAGTCAACTATTTCAAAATATTTTCAGACAGCTTACACCTATCATACTAAAGTCGAGTTCGGTTGGGGCCATTGTATAACCCTTACGGTCTTTTCTTATAGTGCAGGTTACTACACAGCACCACCATCTGATGTCACTTTTGTCACAAAACCGAGCTCCTGACGTCAGATTATCATCATATTTCGATAATGGCTCCGAAAGCATTCTTGTTGTAATTTCAAGAGAGTGAATTTACTCTAGATTGGTAATTCATTTGATGTAGTATTCAAATACAAAGCCTCGAAATTGATGAGCATCAAACGTCATCTTGTTCGTAACGTCCTGACGGTGCCTGAACCGGTTGAGTGTAATATACAAACCTTGCAGGAGGCGATATGTCAGTTAGCTGACGGCATGGATGATGATAACAAAACACCGACGCCATTACTATCGAATCGACACTCAACCAGTCCAGCACCGTCACGTCCAACCGGATGTGTCAGTGGAAGCGGTCCGGGCAGTGGTGTACCACAGTTAAGCCCTCTGGAAACGGCTCGATTGAAAATGACGGTGAGTGTTGTCGTTCACTGCTGTCGATATCTAAATCACCCCTCGACGTCACAGGAAGGATTTTAAATCTGACGTTCATGGTAATATTAAAACATATGTTCTCTGTTTTACCACGCTGGAAAGTGGGAAACTGTTACGTGATTATTATAAGGTTGCACTACTGATAGTGACGGTAATTTCAATGATTCAAAACCGAATATCGGCTAGGTGAGTAGTTCTCGAACACGAGGACAAGCGTACAAATGGATTTTTTGCGTCCACGGGCGAGCAACTTTAGAGAATGATAACAGAGCATCTAACATTACGAGCGTTCCAAAAAAAAAAGGCCAGCAAAAGTGTTTCAAACGTCGATGTTTAAATTTGCGATGTGAAGATCGTAGTTGTACCATGGTGTTACAGTTTCCAATCTGATCCCGATGTAGCACAGGTTTGAAAATATCAAAGTTTTCCTCGTGCTATCAGTTGTGAAAATTGGTTTTATGAGGCGCAATTCCTAACTAGCTATATCCGAGACAAATCTGTTTTAGAGGTCACTGAAGTCACCTTTAAATGGTCATAAAGCGTCTCTGCCTTTCGAACCTACCATTCCTATTTTACGGTTGTTTCATACCCATATTTCGATCCATTCAAAGTACACAAGCCTATGAGTCACTAGCAAGAGTTAAAAGCTAGAAATTGGTCTCGAACCAGCAGCTTATTGGTGAGTGGCTTTCTGTTAAATCGTCGATGATGGGGGAAATGTAATCAACAGGCTAGGCTGTTTTATTACATTCAAATACCATCAAATTTGTGAGCCAAGTTTGAGCTCGAACTCTATCATTCCGAAAACATTGGATATATTGAAACTCGCTCAGAAATATGACTGTATCTGCTTATTATTAGAACCATTCATAATGGAAGGCCTAAGTTTCTGTCTGTTTTTATAAAATATGCTCTCCTTAATTCCACTGTAATGGCAAAAGTCAATTCCGAGCCAACGACAGTTCCATTGTTTAGCACAGTGTCGGTGCGGCAGCGGCCGTTGGACTTGCATCCGCCACTCCGGATGTTTTTGAGTTCGCCGACGATCGTTCCGTAGGTAGCGGATCGGCCTATCCTTCACCATCGCCCCAGTACACTCCATTTGCGTACGGAGCCGTCGGAAGCCCGATTTCTGGACAGTCTATGAGAGGAAGTAAGATTTCATGTAATTATTCCTCCGGCACTTTACTGCTGTACTTTCTACGAGCACTCATTTCCGACGCGGTGTATTATGTCAGTCAAGAGGGATATGAATCCAAAACGACGAATTCGAAAGTGGTTACTCTGAAGCTAGTTTAGCCGTAACCAAGCGACGTCCACGAGCTCGAAAAACTGCCAACATGGGAGATCGAATGGGCGATCTACAACAGACAATGGGGAAGGATCCTGCCTTGGCCGGCATTCCAACTCGAAAGCCTCGCGGTGAAAGCTCTGCCCATTTTTTTTNTTTTTTTTTCTTTTAAAGTGGCACCCTCTATAGTGGCGATTTAGATTATCTATGTAATGATTAGAAATAACTTATATTCTGTTTACTCTACGTCTCCTAGCCCCGTTGCATCTCTTATTGCCCATCAAGCCATGCATCCTTTTGTAATGGCATACCTTAGTTCGCTTTTCCCATAATCGTAACCTTGGTGATATTTCCAGGAAAAACTGGAGTACGTCGTCCGCGTGGCTCTCGTAAGGCGGCGTTAGCAATGTCGCATGCCGAACTGGAAATGCAGCAGCGAGTGCCACCTCCATTGCAGAGATCGTACAGTGACTTTGAACAAATGTCTAATCCAGGTGAGTGATGTTCTACTACAACTTTATTGAGTTCTATTTTGCCGAACGAATCATTTTGAAAGGTATGCTTGGAGTATCAACGTCTCCTTATGTTGATACCGAATCGGATGACGAATGTGATCCTCCACCACCGCCGAAATCATTGGGCATGTTTCCATCGCGTTCGCCTGTGACAAATCAAGTTGCAACGACTTCAGCTACGAACAGTCCTTCACATGTGAGTTTTTTTCGGAAATCCCATTTTTTCGTAGCTAAAAGAGGTTTTAAAATGGAAAAGGCACTACAGTATCTCCCAAAAGGCATCATAAGTTTTCAGTCAATGAGTCCTCTGTGTGCTCCTGTTGGTACTCCGTCATCCTCTACACTTCCTCCCCCATCTCCACTCGCAGCGGCTTCACCATCAGTAAGCCAGCCTGCTCCTCTGCCTTCGCCGCGATCGTCTCAACCGAGGAAGACCAGTCTTGATGCGGTAGTAGGGAGGCTAAAAACGTCTGCGCCATCTCAAGCTACACCTCCCCCGAAGAGAAGTGTTTTCAAGTGAGTAGAGTCAGTGGTCTGGGGTTTGATTGGAAGCAGGAAGAGTTTACGGTAATATAAGTCTCTAGCATGCTTTTTTAGCGATCTCTATGACGATGGAACAGAGTCTCCTCCGCCACCTGAAGAACGCATATCGGCTGCATCAACGGTAGCTTCAACCCCTCTTTCAAGCACATCCGTCAGTGCATCGCCTTTACAGTCTGTCACAGTCACTGCCCAGGTAATCTCTTTCTAATTCGATTATCGGAAAGCGATAAATTTATTATGCGAGGATTCACGGGCCATTTTTTATGACATAATTTATTGCGCGGGCATATTCGAATCATTGACTCAACAGACTCGTGCTCTGACCTCTTTTTATGTACTTTTTGAGCTATTGCATGCAAGTAACTGCTGTGCTTCAAAAGTTGCCACGTTGGTTCATTGATTTCATGGTATACAGTCTTATTATTAGCTTTAATATGAAAGCGTTTATGGACCGTTGCAATACGGAGCGGAAAGAAGTTTTCAAGCCTTTCAATATATATACATCAGGTTCCCCAAGCTTAAGCTTTTATTTACTCGCTGCGAAGGTTGGACACAAGTGATGCTGTTAACTGTCTAGCTGGAGCTCGCCCTCTTTTTCCTGGATTTAACTTTCCACTCCTATTTCTTTAGCTGAATGCAATTGTTATTGAGATAGCAAAGGCCTCAGGGACCGCTTCTACCGAAGTATTCCTAGGCAAGCACCTCTTCCCCACGAATTTCCTCGGAATCAGGACGGGATCAGGCACCATCAGCTGAGGGATCTCAGAACACTACACCCACTGTCAAGATTGAAGGCGCCAGCAAGCTGATATTAAAGGTAATTTCGCTTTTCATTTAAAATATTGGAACAGTCCTATGCCATTTTCAGATTCCCAAAGTACCTTCACGTGCATCCCCTTCAGTTGATGCGCAGAAGACTAAGTCCATACCTATGCAAGCGATGCCGAAACTTGAGAAACAAGAAAAGAAACGAGATAAAGAGAAGAAGGAAGGGCATAAGGTATGGTTTCCTGAAAGAACCTTCGAACTCCCCGACGCCCTTCGTCGCATGAAACCGAAACTTTTCTACACACACTTCGAGAAAGATCTTTCCGACGTCGGTATATTGTATTGAACTTTCAGGAAAGGTCTAAAGATAAATCAGATGAATCTCGACGGCAGAAGAGAAAGGCTGAGGGAAAAGAAAAGGATCGCGAGCATAAGAGGCACAAGGTAACTTTATGTTTCTCTCCTCAATAAGCCACTACCCATGTAATACCTCAGAGCAAATGTCGTAAAGGGTTATGGATTTACCTAACCTTTATGAAGGGTTTTATTCAGAGATAGCTGTGATATTGTGAGTCCCCTGACAACAGCAATAAAAAAATTCAAACTGAAAAAGTCCAACTTGATATTGAAGGGATTTGTTGTGGGAGCATTCGTAGAGTGAATTAGTTGTTTGGAAAAGGCTGCTTTCGTAATTACACATGTAACTTTTCAGGTCTAGGTTGTAGACCTGTCTTATATATAATTTGATTGTGGGAGACCTACATTGGTCAGTATAGTATGCCCAAGATGAGCTCGATTGTTTTGAATGAGCAATAGAGAAAATGTAATTTTATTTATATGCTTGTCGAAAGAGTGATGACCGACTGCCGTTACGACTGAATGTTGCGCAATAGACATAGTGACTAAACCGTTTGCGAAAGAAAAATATGAAACAAATTTGCAGAAAAATTGTGAAAATGCATTAAAATTATGCATAGCCCTCAGAGGGACTGACCTCACTGAAATCCATTTCCGCATTTTTGGGAGCAAAGCATAATGAGGGATTCTTTTCTCGACGAAAAGACTACCATGATGATAGGTGCTCGCGAAAGCCAGAAAATTCTATAGCTTGGCCCATTTTTCTGGAATAACCTTTGAAATTCCTCTTATATTACAACTTTCAGTCGTCGAATGCAGCTTCAACTTTTGACATCAATGCAAGTGGTAGTACAGCTGCTGGTAATTCTTCTTCAAAAACTACCCCTACTGCGCCACTGCCATTTGGTTTCGTTGGAAGTTTGAAGAATTTTAAAATCCCAAAGGTTGGTTACTGCTCGTTTCCAGACGATGACATTGGGAATTGGATGTTGTTCGGACACGTTTCCATATTATTCTTCTATAAGCCTTCCCCTATCAATATTCAATTGCAAAATTTTCTGGAATTATTGGGAGTTTCTGCACTAGTTTTCAGATAGCTTCACCAATATAAGATTAATTTCAGCGCGAAGAAGTGAAGGAGACTACAAAAGAAAAGGAAGCACCACCTCAAAACCCGGCACAGCAAGCTACACCAACGCCTCCGCCTCTTCCAAGTTTGTTCCATTCTATGATTATATTACCTATGCTAATTCCCCAACACTTTAGCCCCAGCACCTAATCCTCCTCCTCTACCGACGAAATCCTCTATGCCGAGGAAAAATTCAGGACCGATACCGCCACCTCCAATGATCCCTCTACCTCGACAACCATTGCTCAGCACTCCGCCATCCGGTCCACCAGGAATGCCTATGGGCGTTGGTCCTATGAGAAAGCCGCCTACCCTTCCCGATCACAGAGACAGAAGGTGGGTGAGAAATGTGAAAGGACTTTGTCATTCATCTCGATGAAATCTTGGGTTCTTTTTAAAAAATTATGTTTCAAGCAATTCAAGGCTCTTCCTAAAAATAACTTTTGAAGGCCATCAATGATTGGTGCTCCTCCATTCCGGGGAAACATGTCATCGATACCATTGCCTAAAGGGCCACCGCCACCTCAGGCTACTCCATCTGGAGGTGGCACCTGGATACGCCCGCCATCGCACATTCCTACGCAAAATATCCGGTAAGATTTGTTTATTCTGAAATTTTTGTTAGAGAAATTGGTCTCTAAATTTAAATTTCCTGAGGTAATGCTTTTGTTAAACTTGTGATATGATGGTAGGGTTTTTTTAATACTATGCCATCTCCATCTATCTCCAACTCCAGCTAACTCCAGCTATCCTCGAAGAAAACGTCCCAAAGGAAAGAAAACGATTCCAAGCCTAGGCTAGA